CTGTAACTTCTCCATCTGACCATGGGGGAGGTGCCATCAGGGAGGGTCATTTTTCCATATATTGGGGCAATGTCCTCCCCTCCAGCCCTAAAATCCTGAGAGGGGTTTTGATGTCCCTTTTCCCTAATGCCCCCTTTTCATTTCTTTGGGTTTACCATTTTCGGAATCTATAACAGTCCAAGGAATTAGCCCCCCAATTTTTTTGGGTGAGTGGTTATCTCTAATGTTGGCTTTCAAACCCTCCCCCCCACTCAGCCCCAGATACTATAACATTGGTTCCAGGCAGGGGCCCCCCCTTTTACCCCAACCCAAGCTACCAGTTACCTTTTCAATAAAGTATGAGACCATGGGCCCACCCGGAAAATGGGTTTCCCATCTCCCTTCCCCCCTCCAATGCAGGTCACCTGATCCCCCTTGGGAAATGATGGTGTGCATTGGTTTGTGGTTGAAGGGATCTGAACCTCCTTTTGTCACCTTTCTTTTTTGGTTAATTACAGATGTTGTTGTTACGTTCAGCACTTTTTGGGTGTCAGGTATTATTAGAGACCGTGCCTGAAGGAGAAACTAAGGGGTCCCCTTATAGAAAAGTACAAAAAATCATCCACCAGAAAATTGGCCGTAATTTAATGTAACACAGTGTTTTCCATGTCATCAGCTCCATTGAGCCAAAATGGGGTAGCCTAAAAAAAACTCAATGGAAAAAAAATATCTAAAATTTGGCATTAGGGCCATAGTTTGGGTGGACCCAAAAGGAAACAGTTGAGATAAAATACCCCCAAATATTCATCCCAGCTGGGTCACAACTTTCAATTGTTTTTTTTTACAAGCCTCCAAGTGTTTGTGAAAACTCCCACCACAAAAGTACTAGAAAAAGAAAGGTGATGACTCCCTTTTTATTTTTTGTATAATGGCCAAACCCGGGGCCCACATTCTCCCGTCTTTGGGGCCCCTATCAGGGTGTGCTTCTTCCCCACATGAGAGCTGGGATGTCCAGCAACATTCATCTAGAAGACATTTCCCGCACTCAAGGCACTAATACACCTCCAGGGTTGTGTGGGACCCCTGATGTACAGGAAGACAGGACTTCAGTGAGGAACATTTCCCTCACTCAGGACAGGAAAGTGGCTTCTCCCGGTGAGATCTCTGATGTGTATAAAGTTGAACATCTCTGAAAAACATTTCCCACACTCAGGACAGGAATATGGCTTCTTCCCCGTGTGAGATTTCTGATGTGTGGAAAGATGGGACTTCATTAAAAAACATTTCCCACACTCAGGACAAGAATATGGCTTCTCCCCCGTGTGAGATCTCTGATGTATGTGCAGATCGGACTTCTGTGAAAAACTTTTCCCACACTCAGGACAAGAATACGGCTTCTCCCCCGTGTGAGATCTTTTATGCATATTAAGACTAGATTTAGAAAAAAATTTCTTCCCGCACTCAGGACAGGAATATGGCTTCTCACCTGTATGATATCGCTGATGTATATAAGATTGGACTTCTGTGAAAAAACATTTCCCGCACTCAGGACAGGAATACGGCTTCTCCCCTGTGTGAGATCTCTGATGGGTGTGTAAGAATGAACTTCCTTGAAAAACATTTTCCCACACTCAGGACAGGAATATGGTTTCTCACCCTGTGTGAGTTATCTGATGTGAGTAAAGATAGGACTTCACTGAAAAAACATTTCCCGCACTCAGGACAGGAATATGGCTTCTCCCCCGTGAGATCTTTTGTGCACATTAAGACTGGATTTATAACTGAAACATTTCCCGCACTCAGTACAGGAGAACCTCTTCCCTGTTGGAAGGCCGGCCCGGTCCCGCACAGTCTGAGGTTCCTCAGGATACAAGGAATCCGATGGTCCATCTACACTGGGTGTGCCAGATGGACATTGCAGGGTGCCGGATTTTCTCCTGGACTATACTGTGTGATGTCCTCATCTTCTACTTTCCAGTCTGGAGACAAAGTGAGACAATCCTCGGAGGTTTTCCTCATCTCCCGCCATGGACTAAAATACAAAGACAAAGAGGATTACTAGACAGGAGCTGATTGGTTCCCCCAAACCAGGACTCCGCCCACATCAGGCAGCTTGGTCTCTGAGGAGCTTACAATTCCACCCTCAAGGGAACTAGGAAATGGCTCCTCTGATCTCCTACCAGGTCATTTCTTTATTCATGGACCTTAGTCAGAGAGTGAGGAAACAACCAGAACTGTCTTTTATAGGAGGGACAGTGATGAGGGGATTATAGGACGAGGGTCCCCACCCCCTCTATCACTCATCGCCATCTTCCCAACACAAGAAGTACTGCACTTCCTTATTTAGTCCATGATTTAGTCATGAAGAACAGCGGGGCTGAGCCCCACCAGAGGTCAGAGAGTGAGGATGGGGGGAGAACAACCAAGATGAAGACTGGACTGATCCTGAAGACCACCATCATTGGGGTATTGACTCCTCCCCCATTATCACTTTCTGTTTAAGGGTCCAAAGTTGGAGGATGTTATCACATTATTATCACCATGTAAAAGTCTGTGCTCCAATCACATCATCCGATATAAAATGTCCAGCTGGGAGGAAATGGGGGGAACAAAAGAGAAACCATATTATGTGTATATATAGCAGTGGGGGGGAGGGGGAGAGCAGGGGCTATGGAATGTACAACATAGAGTATATAGTGCAGGGGTCAGGAGTATGTAATGTACAACATAGAGTATATAGTGCAGGGGTCAGGAGTATGTAATGTACAACATAGAGTATATAGTGCAGGGGTCAGGAGTATGTAATGTACAACATAGAGTATATAGTGCAGGGGTCAGGAGTATGTAATGTACAACATAGAGTATATAGTGCAGGGGTCAGGAGTATGTAATGTACAACATATAGTATATAGTGCAGGGGTCAGGAGGATGTAATGTACAACATAGAGTATATAGTGCAGGGGTCAGGAGTATGTAATGTACATTGTACAAGTAGAGTATATAGTGCAGGGGTCAGGAGTATGTAATGTACAACAGAGTATATAGTGCAGGGGTCAGGAGTATGTAATGTACAACAGAGTATATAGTGCAGGGGGTCAGGAGTATGTAATGTACAACATAGAGTATATAGTGCAGGGGTCAGGAGTATGTAATGTAACAATAGAGTATATAGTGCAGGGGTCAGGAGTATGGAAATGTACAACATAGAGTATATAGTGCAGGGGTCAGGAGTATGTAATGTACAACATAGAGTATATAGTGCAGGGGTCAGGAGTATGTAATGTACAACATAGAGTATATAGTGCAGGGGTCAGGAGTATGTAATGTACAAAAGTATGTGAGTATATGTAGTGCAGGGGTCAGGAGTATGTAATGTACAACATAAAGTATATAGTGCAGGGGTCAGGAGTATGTAATGTACAACATAGAGTATATAGTGCAGGGGTCAGGAGTATGTAATGTACAACATAGAGTATATAGTGCAGGGGTCAGGAGTATGTAATGTACAACATAGAGTATATAGTGCAGGGGTCAGGAGTATGGAAATGTACAATATAAATGATAGAGTGTAAGGGTCAGGACTCATAATATTGGTATCCAGTAATCAGTGGAAGATTAAATGTTTACTGTAGACAAGTTGCAGAGATCCCACACCGCTGCCTCCCATCTCCTGAGACTGCACTCAGTGACTTGGGTCTGAGACACTACAGACATATCCCTCCACCCGGCACAGCCAGCAGACCACAGAGCAAGGAACCCTGGGAGAAATTGTTCTGTCAGAGATCTTAATAGACCCGGGCATGGGGGAGAAGACCAAAAGCACACACCCCAGGTGCCTAGGTCTAGTAATGTCTATGGTGGTGAAAAAATGAACATTTTGCTGCCAGCTGAACCCCAGAACCTCCATAAATCCAGTCTAGAGACATAAATTGTGTCTGCAGCACAGAGAAGGAAGATTATCCGAGAGAAATCCAGGAATACAGGACGGGGAACACAGCTCAGGAAAGTGACCAGGGGATTACAGGCTGATATCACCCAGTCCCCGCCCTACTCTGGACCAATCAGTGAGCAGTATGGGTGGAGGAATGGATTTAGTGTTCATGACCCACCTGTGCTGATCTCTGTAGGAGTGTCCTCCTCTATAAATGTCCCCGTTATTCCATCCTCCTCCTCCATAGACTGCTGATCATCCCTCACATACGCCTCTTCTTCTTCTGCTTTCACCTCAAATTCTATATCGATTGGATCTCCACTCTAAATCAAGGAAATGAGAGAAAATATCATCTGTAAAATGTAAGGTCACAAAAAATATCCACACATCATTGTCTCTTACAAGTCCATGTTCTAGATGCTCCATCCCACCAACCTTGCAATGGGACTTGGATTTGGGGTTTTCATGGTGTGACCTTCCTGTGTGGAATCCCGGGAATACAGAGGACGGGGACATCTCTCTGGTGGGTTCCTGGTATTAGGTGGCTCCATCAGTCTCCTTGTGTCCTTGTGCCTTCTGAAAACTCCTCCATCACTCCATACTCCTCATCCTCCTCTTTATACTCTTCTTTAACATCAATATTATCATCCCCGAGGATTCCACTCTGAAAGATATAATAAAACATTCATTGTAACAAACATGCTGTGTATACTCACAACTACCAATAATTGTCATCATCTACAGATGGTGAGGGATGGTGTGACCAACAATCCAGGGAATACAGAGAACGGGGACATCCTCTGGAAGGTCCACAAGTATGCAGGATGACTCCAGTCCATGGTGTCCTGGGTGCCTACTTTGCAATGTTCTTCTAGAGTAAAAATCAACATCCTCCTGCCAGCTGAACCTCAGAACCTCCTCTAAATACAGTTCTAGATTATACCTCTGTTCTGCAGGGGGGGGACAGAGAAGGAGTTTTCCAGAGAAATCCAGGAATCTGAACACAGGTCATGGAGGGTGTGACCAGGGGATTACAGGCTGATATCACCCAGTCCCCGCCCTACTCTGGACCAATCAGTGAGCAGTATGGGTGGAGGAATGGATTTAGGTGTTCATGGACCCACCTGTGCTGATCTCTGTAGGAGTGTCCTCCTCTATTCAATGTCTGACTTATCCATCCTCCTCCATCCTGCTGATCATCCCCTCACATACGCCTCTCTCTTCTTTGCTTTACCCTCAACTTTTAGGATCTATCAGATTTCCACTCTAAACCATATAATAAAAAAATGACATCTGTAACATAAGCAGTTAATATGTACATCCATATAATGATACACATATCTCTATGATCCATGTCTAGATTCTCCATCTACACCAACCTTGTAACAGTGAGGGATGGTGTGACCTTCTTGTGTGGAATCCCGGGAATACAGAGGACGGGGACATCTCTCTGGTGGGTTCCTGGTATTAGGGGCTCCATCATATCCTTGTGTCCTTCTGAAAACTCCTCCATCACTCCATACTCCTCATCCTCCTCTTTATACTCTTCTTTAACATCAATATTCTCATCCCCGGATTCCACTCTGAAAGATATAATAAAACATTCATTGTAACAAACATGCTGTGTATAAATCACAACTACCAATAATTGTCATCATCTACCTGATGATGGTGAGGGATGGTGTGACCTTCCTGTGTGGAATCCCGGGAATACAGAGGACGGGGACATCTCTCTGGTGGGTTCCCATGACTGGATCCATCTGTAGGAAACACACACACTGACTGAATCCATTGTTTCTATGTGTTTATCAGATGATGGGGGATCTAGGTGGATCCTCCGTACTGCTCTCTCCTTTACAATAAAGTCTCCTCTTACCCGGTGATGTGAGGGGCGGCTGATTGTCCATCATGACGTCCTTGTAGAGATCCTTGTGTCCTTCTAAATACTCCCACTCCTCCATGGAGAAATAGACAGTGACACCCTGACACCTTATAGGAACCTGACACACACAATGATACAGTCACCATCCAGACACATCCCTTGTCTGTTACTGGAGAATGTCCCAGAATTCCCGGCACCGCTCACCTCTCCTGTCAGCAGCTCAGTGATCTCTCTGGTGACTTCTAGAATCTTCTTCTTCTTTCTCTCTTCTATCAGGGAGGGAGGTGGAGGCAATGTGATGTCATATGATCTCCAGACTTCACAGGAGGAAAACTCTACATCTGAACACAAATAGTCACATCAAATGATATTCCCAGAATCCTCCTCACCTCTCCATTCAGGTCTCCATTTTATTAAATACCACTTCAGGCTGAGATATATAGCGCATCCAAGAGACCAAGCCGGGGTCACTACACAGAAAATCAATCCAAGGAAACAACAGGCAGGACGAGGAATAGCAAGAAGGAGCTGAGAGACAAATGAGAATATTGCTCAGCCAATGGGAGATGATCTCAGCATGACTTCCATCATGAAGGAGATGAGGGGGAGGGGAGGAAGTCACTGAAGGTGACCATAGATCCATGGAAATTCAGCTGGTTCAGCAGGGATCGCTCAATATCCATCCATGTGTGGCCACTGCCGGATAAAATCCACTCCCCCAGCGGCTGCAGCCAATAGCGTCAGTGCTGATCTGTGTATTCTGAGAGCGGAGGAGTCCCCCCATTGTCAGAATACAAGAGTGCAGCGGGGAGGATTCCCCCATCTACCTACAATGTGTGGATGGAGGAATCACTTCAGTATGTTCACTCATCCTGCTGGCTGAATGATAAAACTGAACCATGTAGGCCAGCTTTGGGAGCAAGATATACAGTGAGGAACAGAAGTATTTGAACACCCTGCCATTTTACAAGTTCTCCCACTTCTTCTCCATCATGGAGGGGTCTGAAATTCACATTGTAGGTGCATTCCCACTCTGAGAGACAGAACTGAAAAAAAAAAAATTCAGGAGATCACATTGTATGATTTGTAAAGAATGTATTTGTCTTGCACTGCTGAACAGAAGTATTTGAACACCTAAGAAACAGCAAGAATTCTGGCTCTCAAAGACCTGTTACTGCGCCTTTATAAAGTCCACCTCTACTACTCTACTCATTCATCTAACTTAGTAGCACCTGTCTGAGCTCTTTAAAGACACCTGTCCACCCCACAGTCAGTCAGACGCCAACTACTACCATGGGCAAGACCAAAGAGCTATCAAAAGACACCAGAAACAAAATTGTGGACCTCTACAAGGCTGGAAAGGGCTACGGGGCAATTGCCAAGCAGCTTGGTGAAAATAGATCAACTGTTGGAGCAATTGTTAGAAAGTGGAAGAGTCTAAAGACGACTGTCAGTCTCCTTCGGACTGGGGCTCCATGCAAGATGTCCCCTCGTGGGGTATCACTGATGATAAGAAAGGTGAGGAATCAGCCCAGAACTACAAGGGAGGAGCTGGTCAATGACATGAAGAGAGCTGGGACCACAGTTTCACAGGTCACTGTCGGTAGAACACTACGCCGTCATGGTTTCCAATCATGCATTGCACGGAAGGTTCCCCTGCTCAAGTCATCACATGTCCAGGCCCGTCTGAAGGTTGCCAATGACCATGTCCATCTGAATGATCCAGAGGAGGCATGGGAGAAAGTCATGTGGTCAGATGAGACCAAAGTAGAACTTTTTGGTCTAAACTTCACTCGTCGTGTTTGGAGGAAAAAGAAGGATGAGTTGCATCCCAGAACACCATCCCTACTGTGAAGCATGGGGGTGGTAACATCATGCTTTGGGGGCGCTTTTCTGCGAAGGGGACAGGACGACTGCACTGTATTAAGGAGAGGATGAATGGGGCCATTTATTGTGAGATTTTGAGCAACAACCTCCTTCCCTCAGTCAGAGCATTGAAGATGGGTCGTGGCTGGGTCTTCCAACATGACAACGACCTGAAGCACACAGCCAGGAGAACCAAGGAGTGGCTCCGAAGAAGCATATCAAGGTTCTGGAGTGGCCTAGCCAGTCTCCACACCTAAATCCAATAGAACATCTTTGGAGGGAGCTGAAACTCTGTGTTGCTCAGCAACAGCCCCGAAACCTGACAGATCTAGAGGAGATCTGTGTGGAGGAGTGGCCAAAATCCCTGTTGCAGTGCAAACCTGGTCAAGGACTACAGGAAACGTCTGACCTCTGTAATTGCAGACAAAGGCTTCTGCACCAAATATTAACACGATCTTCTCAGGGGTTCAAATACTTCTGTTCAGCAGTGCGAGACAAATACATTCTTTACAAATCATACAATGGGATTTCCTGAATTTTTTTTTAAATTCTGTCTCTCAGAGTGGGAATGCACCTACAATGTGAATTTCAGACCCCTCCATGATGGAGAAGTGGGAGAACTTGCAAAATCACAGGGTGTTCAAATACTTCTGTTCCTCACTGTATTAGAAATGATTATTTTATATTATTATACAGGATTTATGGCACCAACAGTTTGCTCAGCACTTTACAATATAACGGGAGACAATACAGCAACAATACAGTTCAATACAAGAGGGTTAGGAGGGCCCTGCTTCCAGGAGCTTACAATCTAGGAGGGAGGGGCTAGTGATACAAAAGGTAATAACTGTGGGGGATGGACTGGTAGGAGGAATAGAAGATTCCATTATTAGCTGAGGGCAGGATAGGCTTCCCTGAAGAGATTGGTTTTCAGGGATCGCCTAAAAGTGAACAGAGTAGGCGATAGTCAAATAGATTGGGGTAGAGAATTCCAGAGGATTGGGAAGGCTCTGGAGAAGTCCTGGGGACAAGCATGGGAGGAGAAGACAAGGGATCTAGACAGCAGGAGGTCGAGAGGACAGTTTGGGTGATATTTGGAGACAAGATCGGTGATGTAATTTGGGGCAGTTATAAATGGCTTTATATGTTATTGTTAATGTTTTGAATTTTATTTGTTGGCCAATGGGAAGCCAGTGGAGGGATTGGCAGAGAGGGGTGGAGGACAGTGAGTGGAGGCCAGTGGAGGGATTGGCAGAGAGGGGTGGAGGACACTGAATGGAGGCCAGTGGAGGGATTGGCAGAGAGGGGTGGAGGACACTGAGTGGAGGCCAGTGGAGGGATTGGTAGAGAGGGGTGGAAGACACTGAATGGAGGCCAGTGGAGGGATTATGGGGGTGGAGACAGAATGGAGACCAGTGGAGGGATTGGACAGTGAATGGAGACCAGTGGAGGGATTGGAAGAGAGGGGTGGAGGACACTGAATGGAGGCCAGTGGAGGGATTGGCAGAGAGGAGTGGAGGACACTGAATGGAGGCCAGTGGAGGGATTGGCAGAGAGGGGTGGCAGATACAGAACGGTTAGTAAGGTGGATGAGTCTGGCAGCAGCGTTCATGATAGACTGAAGAGGGGATAGCCTGCGATGAGGTCGGCCAATGAGGAGGGAGTTACAATAGTCAAGGCGATATAACCAGGGAGTGAATAAGTTGCTTAGTGGTTTCCGAGGTTAGGAACGGGCGTATCTTGGAGATGTTGTGGAGGTGAAGTCTACAAGATTTGGACAGTGATTGGAATTGGGGGTGAAAGGACAGATTGGAGTCTAGGATTACACCTAGTACCCTGGCATGAGGGGAGGGACTGATGGTTGTATTATTGATCTTGATGGAGAAGTCAGGGGGGGGGGCACGGGCTGGGGGAATACTAAGAGCTCAGTTTTGGAAAGATTGAGTTTGAGGAAGTGGAGTGACATCCATGCCGAAATGTCTGATGAAAAACAATGGTGAACCATCTGCGCTACCCTGAATAAACTATTGTTCTAGGAATGGGTTGCTGCTACCTGGCTATACACCTGGATAGAATGGGATCAAAATTATAACAAAATTGGTGCTGCTCTCCCACACTTGTACTTATATAAATAATTACATCAAAATGAGGTTTCAGTGACACCCCTAGTGAATCCTCCTGAGTGTAATTATCACAAACCCAATTCTTCATATTATTATACAATCTTATACAGTGATGTTTGATAAACCATATGAAATAAAATATAAATGTGCAAAACACATAAAAACACAATACAAAAACCCACTTGTGTCCCTAAACAGGGTGAAATCACAAACCGGTACTAAACCACACGTGATAAAACACTTGGCAGAAGTGAATGCCCAAAGGTGCAGTGGAATGACAAATGGCACTATTGTGCCTATAGAAACAACCAATAGGACGGTCAGGATAAATGGACCCTGTCTATAGGACAATCTACAAGGACTATAATGAATCCTTCAACATTAATGTGTGACCACCACTCAACAAGTGCCCACATGTACCAAAGTGTAAATTGCCGTGCTCCAGTCCCCAAACTTGGGACTATACTGCTATATAAATAGCAAAAAAAAAAAAAAAACACATAACTTAAATCAATTTATAAAAAAGTCCACAAAACACGTGCCACCATTATTAAACAAAAACATAATTGTCCATGTGTGTAATCTTCAATAAGGCTGGATATATAGAAACCTCCAGCCATCAATAGAAATCTGGCAGGTGAACAAAAAGTGTAATCCTTCACCGGTAAGATTGCCCCCCTCACCTTCATGAAGTGACCCCACAGGGTCAAAGTGCTGCTTTTCTGCTATTAAGCACAGCCAACCGCTCAATCCTCCACGTCAGATTCGGTATCACAAACAGTGGTGGTGTCCCCCTTCAGAACTTACAGGTATCACCTCTCCTGATATCCGGATGGTTTTCATATGATCTACTTGTACCTCAGCTTCCTCATCGGTGTTTATAAAACAAGAAGAATCCTTCCATCATGTGATATTGTTTCATTTATTGATGTAAAAGAATTCTATAAATGCTCACTCACATGTGTTATGAGAAAACAATGCTCACAGATCCTCATATGAACTCCTGGGTGTACTCCTATGGGTGTATCAAGATGGCCCTTCTGCCGGAAGTGATGTCACCACGTCTCTATCTATTTATACAGCAGTATAGTCCCAAGTTTGGGGACTGGAGCACGGCAATTTACACTTTGGTACGTGTGGGCACTTGTAGAGTGGTGGTCACACATTTATGTTGAAGGATTCATTATAGTCCTTGTAGATTGTCCTATAGTCAGGGTCCATTTATCCTGACCGTCCTATTGGTTGTTTCTATAGGCACAATAGTGCCATTTGTCAGTCTATTTCCACTGCACCTTTGGGCATTCACTTCTGCCAAGTGTTTTATCACGTGTGGTTTAGTACCGGTTTGTGATTTCATCCTGTTTAGGGACACAAGTGGGTTTATGTATTGTGTTTTTATGTGTTTTGCACATTTATATTTTATTTCATATGGTTTATCAAACATCACTGTATAAGATTGTATAATAATATGAAGAATTGGGTTTGTGATAATACATCAGGAGGATTCACTAGGGGTGTCACTGAAACCTCATTTTGATGTAATTATTTATATAAGTACAAGTGTGGGAGAGCAGCACCAATTGTATTATAATTTTCATGCAGATATGTCACTTAGTAGGTTAGTAATGCGAGAGGAGACTGAAGGGGAGACTATAAATGTCCCCGTTATTCCATCCTCCTCCATAGACTGCTGATCATCCCTCACATACGCCTCTTCTTCTGCTTTCACCTCAAATTCTATATCGATTGGATCTCCACTCTAAATCAAGGAAATGAGAGAAAATATCATCTGTAAAATGTAAGATTTATGATTGTGACATCACACACAAAATCCACACATTGTCTCCCTTCACAGAAGCAGATCACATGTGATATGTCGGTACATTTCCCCTAAATACCGCATGCCATCCTGAAACTGTCCATTTCCTATCCCGTGTTGCGGTATTGACCACAAACACTGAACACGCTCAGATACCGCATGAACAGGCGTTACATTCACAGAAGGAAATAAAGAATGAAATGCATGCGGTCATTAATAGTGGTGGAGACATGCGGCATTCAGGAAATGTGTACTGCTTGGTAAAGAAGTGTGGGCGGCCGCTGGCATCCTTAACAACCAGTAAACAACATGGTTGTTAGGGAGCGAGCGGCCGCCTCGTCCTAACCAACGGATAAATCTGAAAAAAAGAATTACTGGCAATGAAATATTAAGAAAATGGTGTGGGGTCCCCTTCTTTGGGAGTCTAGTATGGATTGTGAGGGAACCCCTTGACAAAATGAAAGAAATACATACCAGACCCCTATCTGAGCATGCAGCCTGGCAGGTCAGGAAAGGGGGGACGAGCAAGTGACCCCCCTCCTGAAACATACCAGGTCATGTGCCCTTATCAAGTATCGTGATTGGATCATCGATGGATCTACATCAGGGGGATATTTTTCTTTATATTTTTGTTTTGTAAAAAAAAATTACTTCCAGTGTTTGGTTACACTATATTTTTTTTGGTGAATGAATAGGGGTACTATGTACTCTATACTCATTCACATTGTGGAGGGCCGGGATCTGGGGGCCTCCTTGTTAAAGGTGGCTTCCAGATTCCAAAAAGCACCCCACCCACAACCACTGCCCAGGGTTGTGAAGAAGGGACCCTTGTCCCCATCGATATGGGGACAAGGTGCTTTTGGAAGGGCAGAGCGCACCTGACCTGACCTGAAGCACCCACCCCATGTTGAGGATATGTGGCCTGGTATGGTCAGGAGGAAGGTGGGCACTCACTAAGGGTCTGGTATTGATTTTGGAGGGGAACCCACGCCTTTATTTTTATTACTGTGGCATCGGGGTTCCCCTCAAAATCCATAGCAGACCTGTCACAGCTGTCAGCGGGGAACTTGGTGGCCGTCCGCTCCTTGTTTACTGGTTGTTGGGGACACTGGCGGCTGCCCTCTCCTTAACAACAAGCTATTTACAAGTGTTGCTATGGACACCAGTGGTAAATTACCCGCAGGATTCACTACTAAAAACCAGAATGCAGCATCTTACTACATACTGGGATACGGGAAGATACCGCTTTGTGATTGGAGCCCATAGTCTCTACAAGTCCATGTTCTAGATTCTCCATCCCACCAACCTTGTAATAGTGAGGGATGGTGTGACCTTCCTGTGTGGAATCCCGGGAATACAGAGGACGGGGACATCCCTCTGGGGGGTTCCTGGTATTAGGTGGCTCCATCATATCCTTGTGTCCTTCTGAAAACTCCTCCATCACTCCATACTCCTCATCCTCCTCTTTATACTCTTCTTTAACATCAATATTATCATCCCCGAGGATTCCACTCTGAAAGATATAATAAAACATTCATTGTAACAAACATGCTGTGTATAAATCACAACTACCAATAATTGTCATCATCTACCTGATGATGGTGAGGGATGGTGTGACTTCCTGTGTGGAATCCCGGGAATACAGAGGACGGGGACATCTCTCTGGTGGGTTCCCATGACTGGATCCATCTGTAGGAAAACACACACACTGACTGAATCCATTGTTTCTATGTGTTTATCAGATGATGGGGGATCTAGGTGGATCCTCCGTACTGCTCTCTCCTTTACAATAAAGTCTCCTCTTACCCGGTGATGTGAGGGGCGGCTGATTGTCCATCATGACGTCCTTGTAGAGATCCTTGTGTCCTTCTAAATACTCCCACTCCTCCATGGAGAAATAGACAGTGACACCCTGACACCTTATAGGAACCTGACACACACAATGATACAGTCACCATCCAGACACATCCCTTGTCTGTTACTGGAGAATGTCCCAGAGAATTCCCGGCACCGCTCACCTCTCCTGTCAGCAGCTCAGTGATCTCTCTGGTGACTTCTAGAATCTTCTTCTTCTTTCTCTCTTCTATCAGGGAGGGAGGTGGAGGCAATGTGATGTCATATGATCTCCAGACTTCACAGGAGGAAAACTCTACATCTGAACACAAAGAGTCACATCAAATGATATTCCCAGAATCCTCCTCACCTCTCCATTCAGGTCTTCATTTTATTAAAGCCCCACTTCAGGCTGAGGTATAATTCCCCCCCACAGGACCCCCACACTACGCAGGGTATAGGCTTGTTGCAGCATTCTGATGTCATTACATACAACGCAGGACCAACAGTCCCACTTTACATGTGAGGATACCAAGGGACCCCACATCCTAAGAGCATCAGAAAAAAATCAGATGGAGGGACATTGGGAGGAGGAGCTGTGAGGTCAGTGTGATGTCATAGGATTCAATGAGTCTGGATGTAGGGACATTGGGAGGAGGAGCTGTGAGGTCAGTGTGATGTCATAGGATTCTCTGACTCTGGATAGAGGGACATTGGGGGGAGGAGCTGTGAGGTCAGTGTGATGTCATAGGATTCTCTGACTCCGGATGGAGGGATATTGGGGGGAGGAGGAGCTGTGAGGTCAGTGTGATGTCATAGGATTCTCTGACTCTGGATGGAGGGACATTGGGAGGAGGAGCTGTGAGGTCAGTGTGATGTCATAGGATTCTCTGACTCTGGATGGAGGGACATGGGAGGAGGAGTTGTCAGGTCAATGTGATGTTTCCACCCCCCAGGGTCACTGCAGGTGTGGAGAAAAGCTGTGTAAGAGGATATGGAGGAGAGATGAGGAGGAGATCCAGGAATCAGGAGAAAGGTCAGGGCAAGCAACAGACGAGCGCATCCAAGAGACCAAGCCGGGGTCACTACACAGAAAATCAATCCAAGGAAACAACAGGCAGGACGAGGAATAGCAAGAAGGAGTGAGAGACAAATGAGAATATTGCTCAGCCAATGGGAGATGATCTCAGCATGACTTCCATCATGAAGGAGATGAGGGGGAGGGGAGGAAGTCACTGAAGGTGACCATAGATCCATGGAAATTCAGTTGGTTCAGCAGGGATCGCTCACATTTCCATCGATGTGTGGTCACTGCCAGATAAAAGCCACTCCCCCAGCGGCTGCAGCCAATAGCTTCAGTGCTGATCTGTGTATTCTGAGAGCAGAGGAGTCCCCCCATTGTCAGAATACAAGAGTGCAGCGGGGAGGATTCCCCCATCCACCTCCAATGTGTGGATGGGGGAATCGCTTCAGTTTTTATGGTCATCCCTGCTGGCTGAACGATAAAACTGAACCATGTAGGCCAGCTTTGGGAGCAAATATATTATCATCAACTCCTCCCCCTGAAGGGGATCATCTACGTATTAATTCCTCTGCTGCCAGATCCAGGAATGTGGACTCTCTGCTCCTCCTGATTCACCTCTCCCCTAGAACATCCTGTCTGCACCTGACATCACTTCCTGTCTGTCCTTACATAGAGACTTCCTGTCTGTACCTGACATCACTTCCTCTCTGTCTTCCATAGAGACTTCCTGTCTGGGTAGAAGTGAGATCCCCACCTTGTGGAGCTCAGAGGAACTGCAGCCCCGAGAAGCGTCTGGTAGTGTGACCCCGTCCTTGTGCTGGGTGTGTATGGACTGTAGATCCTTATAGAGGGGTCACCTCCACTCCCACCAAGGGGGACAGAAATATATGACTGCTCGGGGGAGGGGTTTTGGCCCCTTTGATTTTGCAGTAACATTGATTGCAGATTTAGTCCTGTAGAACATCTGGTATATGGATACAAAGCCCCCCAGCTGGGAGTAAAGGGTGGAAATGGCTGGTGACCCCCAGATTTGGGCAATGATGTCATCACTATAAATGGATAAAACCCGCGCTATGTGTAACAACTCCAAACCTACAAAAACCTTCTAGCGGACGCTGCTGTAACAAAGGGAAGGATTCCCTGTCATCTAGAAGAGCATTATGTGTCACAGCGCTGTCCTATTGTGTGTGCACAGAAATCATCACAAATACACTACAAATATGTGGAGACATTCAGAGATAAAGAGCTCGGGGCTCCAAATCCTATTCTCTGCACATCCACTGCTTCCACTTTACACCCACTTCATTGGTCTTATGGGGTTTATCAATAAATGAAGGAAACTGAACCGTGTGCAAATCCATCCACAACATAAAGTGCTTTGTGCTCAAGATGCTGCTCCCCTGCAGATCCACTGCTTCCACTTTACACCCACTTCATTCATCTCATCAGATTTGCTGCTATAGGAAATCATGTAAAATGATGTCCCATCTCGCTGTTTGTAAAAACAATTCTGCAGCTAATTGGCCACTAGGATTACTTTTACATGAAAGCCGACCACCAGCTAATAAACCAGCACTAGAATGGTGCCTGTAGCTGCAAGCATCCTCCCGGTATAACCACTCCAAGTCCAGCGACGTTCCAGTACATTGCTGGTCCATGTTGGACATATATGTACCCAGCAGAGAACACGGACATACGATGAATCGGGTCTGCGGACCAATATGACTGCAATTCATTCTTTTCTGTAATGTCCATGTTGGGGGTTCGGCCCAATAAGTTTTACATTTCATAAACGGTGATAGAGTTCCATGTGAATTGTGTGACAAGAGCTGAATTTGGGGGGCGGCCATGTATTGTGGTGTATAAATTGCCTTGGCCCACAATTGGTACAAATCTTCTGTGAAGAACAGTGAATGTGCTAATCTAACATGTGTGTACAATGTTACTCGGTGCCCGTGTTCTCTCTTCTCTCCCTGGACTGACCGGGGGGGCCAGTGGGGGGGCGCTGGCACTTTTGACACCCCAAAACAAGTGAAGTGATGCAAGATTATGCCACTTTGCCAAGAGCTGCTGCTGACCCACAAAAATGCAGGTAAGTGAGGTTGGCAAGTAATTAAAAAAATTTAAAAAAAAGCCAGTAAAAACATTTTTAAAAACAAAATTCTCACAAATATGGTAATTTAACTTTAACATATTTTATCAGACATAGTAGATAGTTACATAGTAACCATTGTACTACTGTGGGGGGGGGGGGGATCAGGGGAATTTTTTCACACTCTCAACTTTTCTTTGCAGGAGAAATAATGATCATTTCTCCTGCAATGCAAAGCTTGCTGTCAGAACCGAACTCATTCATCAAAACTGTCATCAGTAAGTTAGCTTTTTGACAGCTCAAGATAAGTGATGTGTGATTGGCTGGAGCTGGTCCACATATGATCCAGGGTGCTGTGATTGGCCTCGTGTATATCGGTGACAGTGCTGTGGGGCCAATCACAGCTCACTAGGAGGAGAAGCAGAGCTGTTATGGAATTAGATTGATTCTATAATAAACTGCTTACATTGGGATCACCTAGAGATCACATGATCACACCGGGTCACAATCACTGGGATCTTCATTCCGCTGTATCCACCAGACCCTCAGCAGTCGGGGGAGGGAGCGCTGTGTGCCGGGGCTCGAGGTGTGGTGTCAGTGTGCCTCCTGTGTTGAGTACAGCCAGAGTGACATACAAGTACATTGCTGAGTGCCTGTAGCTGCCCGCCTGACCACAGTACATTGCGGGTGGGAAGCGCGGTAATCTAGGACTAAGGATTCCAAGCTCACTCCTTGGGCCATGATATCATCCAGGCAAGAAAATGTATAGTTCTGTGTTTCCAATTATGAGGTTGACATAGAGGCATTAGAGTGCCTTCATGATAATGGAACAAAGGTAGACAAGCATTGCATGCTGTTGTGTCGGTTGTTGTGTGAAGCAAGTCTGTCTCCTTTTTTTATTTTCAGAAAATACTTTTGTTTGGCTTTTTT